CAGACCCCATAAGGTGACACTTTGTTTATATTGCTCCATATCTCCCCTCATGTACCACCACCCACGCCATACCAGACCCCATAAGGTGACACATTGTTTATATTACTCCATATCTCCCCCCATGTACCACCACTCACGCCATACCAGACCCCATAAGGTGACACTTTGTCAACACTGCCAGTTGTCACAGCAGTATAGAAATGGTGTATTTACACAGTGACAGGTATATTTAATGGGGTGTTGACATCACTATTTTATGTGAAACTTCTTGGCTCAAAGGTGAATGTAATCTCCCAGTGTAAGCCAAGTCTTGATGACACAATATCAGTGGATTTCTCTTCTTGACAATTAAATCTGGTCTTTACACTTTCATGTGATATCTCCTGATATAGAGTGGACTACAATGGGACCAGGTATTTAATTCTGATATACTTTCTATTCATGGAGTAGTTACATTTGGTTTATATTCTTGACAACGCAATTCCCCAGCCGATTTCACAAACTTACCAAGTCTAGTCTCAACAGTTACATAACATCAGTTATAAACCAATAGAGTCAGGTGAATGGGAACCAGACCTGTTAAACTTGTGTCTACAGTGGTGGGGGAGGGGGGGCACAGGTGTACAGAGACAGACAGGTGTTTTTACACCTATCAGCAGAATAATTTATACACCGACCAGCAGAATTTAAAATGTGATCTTTGATTTGTCAGTGTTAGTTCTTTTTCTCCTGTGTTTCTTCTTCGTTTTCTGGAAATAAAGTCCAAGAGAAACTGGTTCTTTTAGTTTTTGGCCCATTTAGCATCTTTTACTATATCAGTGATAATTAGATAGGAATCAATTTAGCTCTTTATTTTCCTAAGGTAACCAGGCCTTGAGGGTGTTTTGTACCTTGCCAGCTTATATCAATAATGAATTAACTACTAGTAAGCTCACTGGAGAACCACATCACTAGAGCCTGGCCAAAGACACTTGTCAGTACCTGTCTTCACAGCAAATCCTGAATCCAAGGAATTAAGCCACATTCTTTTCTATTCCATGTCAAACACTGATTGAGAGAACTAGATTTGTATTCTGGCTGTGTACTAGTAAGTGTGGAATTCAGATCTAGAGTATTTGTGCCCGTTGTGTGTGTATTGATATCACCCCAATAAGAACATTTCTGAAATCAGTTCTTTCTCTCTAAACTTTTCATGTCCAGTTGCCATTTGTCATGTGGTTAGTAATTTTAGTAAATATAGGGGGATAACTTCACTTGAACTCCTCATAGGTATATAATGGGGAGCATTAGTGTTCATTTTCAGTGAGATGGCAGTGATCCAGAACTCTCTGCCACATAAGGGTGTTAGGACAAGCATTAGGTGGTGTTGATTCGGGAAGTTAAAATGACTTGTCTTACAGCCAGTGTGATGAATTGACTGACATTTTTTGTCCTCCACTTAAAGAAGTAACACCCGCAGAGTAAACCTGTCCCTATTGCAGGACAACTGAAATCCCAGGTTTACTCTGAAAACTGCCAGCCTTATGTGCAGGGTTAAGGAGGTTTATGTTCAAACTTTGATAAGCAACTTTTCTTATAACCGAGGCTAAAAAGGAACAAAACATTTAAGTCTAAATAGAAAGAAAGGAAAGCATTCAAAAGATGGGAATCAGAAGAGAGAAAAGAACCTTTCAGTTGGCCTTTTTTGTGCAAGATTCCAAATTGTCCCGAGCTTAAATAAAAATTAAAATATGTGACATTTAGACATTTCAGTACAATTCAAATTGTGATGATTTGCCAACTATAGGATCCAGCTAAAACAAAAAGATAAGCAGTATTTCTCTGTAAACCAGGCAAAGCCTCCTTTATATGTTAAGTGCCAGGTTTGATGATGATGATGATGATGACAAGATAATTGGAATAGACCTAGGAAGTGTATCCACAGCACCTGCTCCTGATTGTACTGTCAGATTATCTCTGATACACCTCCACTAAGTGTTAATTAACATGATGAATTGGTCACATTAAGTTGACAGACAGCTGATTGACCTAATTAAGCTATTTGACTGACCTAATTAACCAGTGCTGCATTCTCTCAGTGTAGAAGCTTGTAGTAATAATGTGGGGGAACAGGAATATGTGGTTAAATTATTGTAAGAGATTGTGGATGTTGTTGTCTCTCCTCCACCTACTAACTAGAAAACTAATGTGAAATGATATTGATTCTCTCTTTAGGCTAGTTAATATTATCTCTTTTATACTAAAGATTGGCTCTTTATTGAGATCACCTGGATCACCTGACACTTGAAATTGGAGAGGTGTAAAGGAAAAGTACAGGTTGATATAATTTCCAGTACATGAAGTCTGACAAGAATTATTCATTTACACTTTCTATCTTGGCAGCTGACTTCACTTTAGTCATGAAAGGGTGTCAGCTCAGCAAAGGAAAAAATAGAATATGTATTTCATAGGGGAAAAAATGAACTTGGGTTGGATTAAAAACTGGTTTTTATCATTGATTTAAAAAATTGGAAAAAAAATTAGAAATCGTCCAAGTCATTGTTCTTATCCAGTCCCTGACATAGCCCTGACACCTGGTGTCCAGGTAAGTTAAGAAGTGTCAGGTGTAGAGAGGTACACAGGTATCAAAACCTTGGTCACATACCTGACCCCTGTCTTTCTCCTCTGGTAACATTCCTGATCTCTGGAATGTGGCCGCAAGGGACAGCAGAACTTATTAGCATGGTGATTAGCACTACATCTATATACATTGATAATGTGCGTTGTATAGAATACATACTTTTTAGTTAAGTTGAAACATTGAAAGAGGGGATTCTTCTTTTATTTCTGGTTTTGCACATCATATGGATATTAGGTAGATACAGTAAGGTGGCTGATTGAACTCTGATGTAATTGTCTTGGTTTTTAGTTTCATGATGAACTGACATGTGACATTCACTTTGCCTTAAAGTGGGAAGAAATGTGTTTAACTTAGACCTTAAACAGACAAAACTTTGTCATTTGAAATCGTCATGATATATGTTTTGGGACATACCCACTGCTCCAATAGACCCTTGTGGTGAGGATGTTTAAGTAGGTCATCGTGACCTAATTACTGTTGTTGTATTCCAGGGGGTCTGCAGGCAGGTATGGTGAAATAAAGACAGTGGTGAGGGTGATTTAGTAGGTCACAATGACCCAATTACTGTTGTTGTATTCCAGGGGGTCTGCAGGCAGGTATGGTTAAATAAAGACAGTGGAGAGGAGCAAGAAGACATGGCTGCAGCTAGAGATGAGAAATTTACAGGAACTGCAGGCAGACAGGTAAGACTGGTATTTGAATTTTTATATATTTGTCCAGTCAAGGCCGCATTTACAACAGTGGACTAACTAGTCCGCAGATCAAATATGGCAGACCCACTTGAATACTTCCCTAATCTATTCAGTGTCTCTTAGTAGATTAGACAGCAAACTTTTTAGTGGGTCGCCATATTTGATACCCAGACTGGTCAGTCCACTGTTCTGAATGCAGTGATTGGTCAGCGTTTCTGCTTTGATCCAGTATTTAGAATTATAAGAATTTGGCTCTGCAGAGAGCCAATATGGCAAGACCTGCCTCCAATGTGATATTGTTATATTGGACACGAGGGACTTATGACCAAGGATGTCAGGTGTTCAGAATGTAGACGTGTGCTTTTTCCACAGAAAAGCGGAATTCCACATTTTTAATTCAGTTCTAATGGTTCCTGAGATTCATTAAGATCTGCGATAAAATCTGGAGGGAAAGGGGGGGGGGTCAGAGTATTTTTTATTTTTTATTTTTTTTTGAAACCTAGGCTCATGTCTAGGAATGGCCTTGCACACAATATAGGCATTCAGTTCAGGAGATACTGTGGATAGATGTATTGTGTACAACCTCTGAGATATTTCACATTGATGTATTGCATGTTGAAGGCAAAGCGTGAGTACAGTCAAGTGTAATCATCATCTTTGATGTTGTTGAACTGTGCCATAGAACTGCTATCCAGGTGAAGGACACCACTTCTTCATCTTCAGGTGTTACAACCAGTCAGGGGTGGGGCTGGGGGAGGGGGGCGGGGAGGGAGGCGGGGGGGGGGGGGAGGAGGGAGGTACTGTGGAGTTGAACTGTCATGAGGTAGCAAGCAGTTTGAATTTTATGAAGGCATGACATTCTTGTAAAGATCACAGTTACATGTTTTCTCTCATTATATTGTTTCGCCATTTAACCAAAAAGTAATAGTGTTATCACTCTCTCTCCCCCTTACCCTCCCTCCCTCCCTCTTCCTTGCCCCCTCCCCCCTCCAAATAGTCAAACATGTCCCAGTATCAGTCCAGCAGTAATTAGCAATATGTCCCATTGTGTGCACAGTACAGTTCTGGAGCTCTGTATTGAACTGAACCCTCCGCCCCTGTTGACTCTATCCTTCACACATAGTTACTGTAACTTAACATGTAATTGGAAATATCTGAATGAAAAGATTTCGTGTCTCCGAGGTCACCTCAGGAGAAAGTAAATCTTGTCTTGGAGCTAATATCTGAAAATAGTTTCAGAGCTAAAAATCAAAGCCTCTTCTAGCATGATAGGTAAATTAACTGTATGAATGTGCAGAGAAGGGAAATATTTGGATATCTGGTGGGAGTGGGGATATATAAAATATGCCATGAAATTGTTATTAAAAGTGAGTCAAAGTTGTCACCAACCCTAGTATTGACACCTGAGCTTTTGCATGCAGTTTTCTTGGTGTGCAGAGTCGTTCACTTACATGATAAACTCTCACTGGAAGCTGAATTAAGTTGAATAATAAAAGTCATCACACTTCACCACACTCCCATACTAGTAGGTGCAAGAGAGTAAAGGCCACTGAAACTGAGACTGATGCTGAAAGGATTTGCTCTGTGTATTGTAGCCATTCAGTTGATGTCATGTAGCATATCTCCGTCTATTTCTACTCTAGGAGTCTTCTGTTTGTGGGTCGGTTCCCAGGTCAGATCCTGGCCGTGGGTCACTTCATGTGACCGGGTCTCTCACCTGTGTCATATTGGAGTGACAGGTGTGCTGGACTGTGACAGAGCAGAATTGTTATCCTGTTGTTACCATAGCGATATTGTTACCCTAGCAATATTGTTTTTGTACTGATATTGTTACCTTGGTCTGTATTGTTACTTTGGCCTTTATTGTAACCATAGTAAAATTGTTACCTTGGCAATATTGTTACCATAGTGATAAAAATGTGGTCTGGTGTATTTGTCTTACACTGAAAAAATATGGTATTGGTTTTTGAATTACTTACATCTAGGGGTATCTTTTACATCATCTTAAGTGCACTCTGAGTGGGTTTTCTTTGACTTGTCTACAGACACTTGTAAAGTTGGAATCAGTCAGATACAATTACTGTAAAATGTCTGAGTTATATTTATATGGGCTGTGAGGATGTAATAAGCTGGTGATGTTGTCAGTGTGAGAGCTGAGAGCTGTGTTGGTACAACAGATGACAAGGTCGTCCAGTACACACTACCTGCTGTTACCAAACATGTCACAGAGTTGGTTCATGACTTGATGTAGACATGGACATGTACTCTTACACTGTGTACTCTGGCAGGACATTACAATACTGGTAATTAGTCACCAGAGTGGAACAGAATTGATTAATTTAATATTTCCCAGAATTGTGATGATAGTTATTTCTGAAGAAGGTGTTTGGAAATAAATAATAAATAATACTAAATATAATTGATATTTAATCAGTTATTAGATAAAAGTGGTATCGATTCTTGTATAAAAATGTATTTTTGTGTGTAACAGAGAATGAAGAATCTTTGGAAAAAAAAAAGAATGTTGAAAAAAATCAGGCATACATGTATGAGATATTTGAGTAAGTAGCATTTTTGTTGTTACTTATATAATATAATTTATTTACATGATAATCTGACTTATAAGATCTGACTTGTGATAACTGACACAGTCACATTCAGGTAAAACATCCACCTTGATATGTGTGTTTTTCTTGCTGTCATTCAGACATGAATTCTCCCAAGATACACATTGACTCACATTGTGATTGTAGTAGCTCTGCTAATCTTGTGTAGAAAGATTTATGACAACATTATACACAGAGAACCAGCTCTGCTGGAAGTTTTATGTTATCAGAAGGTTACAAGTCAAGTCACCAGCTCCTGTGTGAGAGGAATGTGATGGAATCCCCCGTGTACTCTGTGTACCCCGTGTACTCTGTGTATGTGACAAAGGTGAAGAGTGAGCACTGGTTTTTTATTAGCTAACATGACAAGGTGGTTGGTGAGACAATGCCCTCCACAACAGAGACAGGTTCACTGTTAAAGAAATTAGCCAGAAATTGGCCTGAACTTTTAAAACAAAATTTTGGTTCTGATCAGTTGAAGAAAAAAACACTTTTTATTGTAAGTTTGCCCCAGGTGTGAACTGAACACATTGACAGCTGGTGATGCAGTTTAGTCACTTGCATGGTTTAAGCATATCCCATGTGTGAACATGCCCTGAATGCCATTCCTGACTGTATTGTGTCTGTTTTAGTAGATGTTTGGGCAGCTGTGTCAAGACTTGACACCTAGTGTGGGGGCAGGGTCAGAAGTTATAGATACTTTACCTGATACACTGGCTATACACAGAGATGTGTGGGAATGCTACATACAGCTTACAGGCAGATATTGGAAAGGCTGAGCTGGGTGTCTCACCTAACACAATGCTGCTGTTTTGCTGTAGGATTTATGCCATTTTTAACCCTAGACACATTAATTTATTGCACAGTTAGATTTCAATTGTCGTGAAAACTGTTACACCACCCCCCCAAAATAAATAAATAAATAAATAAATAAATAAATAAAAAGCAAAGGAAAAATGAAGTAAGAATTCACTTACTGGGATGGCACAGTGATTACGAATGAAATCTACGGCAAGATATTGGAGAACTCCCGGTGAACTGCTCAACTTTTAGTTCTCAGTGATCTCCAATCTTTTACTACAGAAATACCAGGAATATACCACAGAGTGGCTGGGAGAGGGCCTCTTCTCTTACAACATTCACAGTAGAATTCTAGGTATTTTTACATTTGAGCTGCTTTTGTTGTAGCATCCAGAATTCTTTCAGTGTTTTTATGGTGCACTGGGTACTTATGTCAGATAAAAAAAGAAAAATTATTTTAGTCTTGTTTATTTTGGAATTATTTCCCCAATGTTTAATGAGTAATTAGGACATGATTTATTTTAAGTGTATAAAATTATTTTACAAACTATTTACTTCTGTAAAGTCTTAAAAGTATTCAGTCAGTGTGCATAATCGTTACAGTTTCCTTAGGATATTTTTCTGAAAAAAAAAAAAAAATTCCTGGAGTGGTAACTGCTTTCTTCCACACTTTCCCTAAGATCAGGTGCACTACATACAGTTGTCATTGTGATAACTTTGTACATAACGCAAAGAGATGAAATTAATTCTTTCCGTTTGTCCCCCTGGCAATTTTCTTTATAATCCAGGGTCAGGGCCACATGGTAAACAAACAGAGACCAAAAAGATGTGTATTTGCTCAGTGAGTTATACATATCCATGTTCCTGGCCATTGTACCAGACCTTATTAACCTGACTCTGGATTGTAGGGAAAGTGTGGTGAAATTGCCAAGATAAATACTGGCAACAGAAGGTTTGGACATCAATACAAGATGAGTCTAATTTCACACAATTAGGACAAAGAAAAAAATACATCTGTTTTACAAGGTTGAGCTAAAACTACCTGGATTTACTGAATTTTTTTTTATCATTTTTTTTGAAGACATTAAGCTGAATTAAGATAGGCAACTTAATGTTTAGAGCCTAAACACTTACTTAATTTGCAACAATTTAACATAACCAAATTAGAAAAAGGGCAAAATTGTATTGCTAGACCTGCATTGCCTTAAATTAGTGCTTCAATATTAGTTATATATTACTGCTTCAGATAAAAAGGTTAACAAGTGCCTCCTCTGATTTCTAACTTACTTGTATTTATAACCAACAGCTTTTCTGTATTTTAATTGAAGGAGGGGGGGGGGGTTATCCTGTAATCTGACTGCATTCAGCAAGAGTCCCCGAGAGTTGATTTGTACTGACTGGTAATATGGTTTCATAGTGAGGCACCCTTAGAAACCCTTCTCTCATTTGTCTGGCCTAGGTGTAGGTCCTAATATCTGCACTGCCCACCATCCCAATCCTAACATAACCAGAGAGATTGGAGCTGCTTGCCAGTGGAGCTGCTCTGAATTGTTGAACTGCCGGAAAGTTTCTTAACCCTGGTTA